GAAATCTTCCTCAAAGTGAGAGACGTAGAGAAGTAGGAAGACTTGAAACTAAATATTGCAGCAAAAACCAGCATTGTTGGTGTGTTTCAACAAACTCACTCTATTCTGGTCAGATTCTGACAGGAGGGTAAAACTCTGGCGAGCTCCAGCACCACGTCATCACCACAGTTGTTCCATCCCAGACTAAACAGAGAGAGGGAAAATTAGTAGAATTCTCTAATCAGCCTTTTTTTTTCTTAGACCACTTCAGTAACACTAGACTCTTCACTCAGATTTTCATACCTTTTATAAAACTTTCCTTATATTCATCTACTCATCTACCTTTTTAAATGTTTTATTGTTCGAACACATTCCTCAGTTTGCTCATATTCAACCTGAAGCAGCAAGAATCCACAAATAATGTGGAACAAGGAGTTCAACACATACAGGCTCCAATCAGAATGTCTACCATCTTGTTCTTGTGTTCTCCTTTAAAAATAATTGAATGATCATATTTTATTCATTTTCTTATCCATTTATTTTTGCATCTTGGATAAAACCTTCTCTTAATTGTCCTTTTCTTATTTTAAATGAACAGCTCAATGCTGAAAACCCAAATAACGGAGTTACAAAAAAAATATATTTTTTAGATCAGGTCTGACAAATGTAATGTTTAAAATAATTAAAAACTCAAGAAGCTCCAAAAGCACTTTTCTGTCATGTGTGAAGCCACAGACGAGAGGAAAACTTATTCAAGTCAAAGTCAGATTGAATTTGTTGTGAACATTCTGCTTTGGGACTGTGAAGAATTAAAGTTTTGAATTAGCAGTTGATATGGATGTGAAAACAAGGACTTCTGCTCCCAGACGTTTTAGCATTTCATGTTAACATGAGCTGTCTGTTTTTAAGATTGAATTTATAGTATGACATGTCTTTAATCTTACCCAACATCCTGTAGGAGCGGACAGCGAGCCAGACTTGCAGCTACAGCACGAAGCTCAGACGTCCCGACAGCGGTCAAACTGAGAGGCCGTAACAAGAGAGAAACAATCAGTGAGTCTACTCCGTCATTAATGTTGAGATTCATGGAACAAGTAGAGGAGCTGACGAGTCTTACTGAAGCTTGGTGAGATTCTTCATGTTCTTTAGTGCTTGAGCCAGGTTCACTGACCCTTTGTTTCCAATACTGTTCTCTGAAATACTAGAAAAGACACGTAGGGAGAGAGAGAACAGAAACGTCAGGACAACTATGACTAATATGAAAAATATAAATGATGAAAATGTTTAGTGTGTGTGACTCACTCCAACACCTTGATGTGTGTCAGCGATGGTAGAACAAGAGCCATTCTGGCAGCAGTGAGGTCACCAAGATGGTTGCTACTCAGACTGGACGACAGAATATTGTAAAATAAAATATTATAATCAAGTAGAATGAAAGTGGTTTTCTATGAGGTGTATGTGTGAAACACCTCATGTTCTTACCAGAGCTCCTCCAGATGACGACAGCCGCTCAGAGCCTCCAGCAGCTTGTCTCCTGATTCGTCGCTGACAAGGTTCTTTGAAAGTCTGAAGGATGGACATGCATGAAGACACGATTCAAATCAGCTGAATTATGTAGTTCGATGTTTTTCTCTGAAAGCCTTGGGAGTTACCACTAAGAAAGAAGTTGAGGGGACGTTTGGGAGTGCTGCTATATTCTTTGAGACCACTGGGTGGTGCCAAAGTCAGAAATGTTCACACACTAACTTAGCCGAGTCTCCCTCTGTTGGTCATATGAGAGATTACCGGTGTCAGGCACTTCCGCATTGGCTTCACTTTCTGCACCCTGAGTCTCCGCCTATTTTTTTTCCTTCCACTTCTCCGCCACATTTCTCTCCTCCTACCCCCAGTCCGGTCGAGGCCCCTCCCTCACCCACCGACTGGCTCTCTTGGGGGGTTTCTCACTTTTAAAAGAGACTTTTTCCTTCCAGCTGTTGCCCAATGTGGGAACTGTGGTAAAGTCCTGACTCACTGTGTAAAACGTCTGCAGATAAAAGGTGTTTTGTTCAAACAAAGCTTAACTAATTACATGAATACACTCACTGAGCCTTCTGGGACTGTCAGTCTAACAGGAAGAACCAGGTGATGAATGGGAACAGCTGGTCCTCGAGTGCACAATAAAATAGTGAGTGACTTTCGCTACACACTAATAAGGTCAAGCACGGGGGGGGGGGCAAAGCTATGATTTACAGGTACAACTTAACTCATCTATAGTTTTCAGTTATAATATTTAGAAAATTAAATGGTGATTGATTGGTTTCATGGTTGGAATATAAAACCAATATCAAGTCCTGTCTCAAATGTAAAACAGTTTGCTCAAGATCCAGGAAACTACAACTGGCAGCGAGTGAAATGCTACAAAAGCTCTGTGACGCTGATATTTAGATGTTTCTAAGAGAATCTAGAAATGTATTTCAACATAAATACACTGAATTTTACATTCTCAAAAATATATATTGACATTCCTTGTAGCGGACACTGGGTCATGTTTGATCTGACATGTAATTATATCGTGAATGGTATTGTTTTTATTTGTATTTATGTAAAAACATGGCGGCTGTGGTGCCCAGTGTTGTGAAAATACAGTATTTGTGCTCTGTTAGCCAGATCCTCACACCTGAGGCATCACCAGAGCCCAGGATGTCGTCTTAGGAGGAAATAAATACATGTGACCTTCTTTCCCACCTGATCTTCCTGAGCTGCGTCCAGAGAGGAAGGTGCCTGATCAGCTGTTCTACTTTATCAGACATCCTCCAGCCGTCCAACCTGCAACCACAAGAGATCACACGCCACTGAGGACGAGGTTTCTGACATGACAGACGTAAAACTGGTTCATCACATGGTTTTATGTTTGTGCCGCATGTTCGGAAATCTCACTCTATCTCCTCCATCAGCGTCAGTTCTTCCAGAGCAGCTAGAAGATCCAACACACAGCTCTGTTCGGATGGTCCCACCACTGCAGCGACCTTATTTAGCCTGTCACACACACATGAAAATTTTTTTCATTTGAACAAATAAAATAAACATGAATAGCAAATAAAATCTACAATTAACAATGAAACAAATAAAAACTAAAGTAAATCTAATCAATTCCTCAAAAATACAAATACAACAATGAATACTTATCTACTTAACTAAACAGAAATCAAAAACTAAAGAACATTTCAAAACTCTAATGATTCTGCAAACAATTTAATTCAATTTTATCTGTATAGCGCCGAATCATATAATATACATTATCTCAAGGATCTTTACATTGAAGGTCAAGAGTTTAAAATTATAGAGAAACCAAGAGCTCCCACAATAAGTCCTCATTAACTGGAAGAAAAGTCCAGAACCAGACTCAGTGTGGGCGACGTCTGCCTCGACTGGGTGGTCAGCGGAGAAAAATAGGAGGAGGAGAAGAGAGAGAGGGAGGGGGGGCAAGCAGGCAGGTGCTCGGTGAAACTGGGTTTCGGCAGAGCCAACATTTGAGGAGGATTGAATCTTACATCCGTGCAAACATGATCTGTATTAAAGCACTGTCCAAACCACACAGACATTTTGTCTGGTGATCTTACAGTTTGTCAGTCAACATGACTGTGGAGCTAAACCCTATGAGCGCACAGGGGATGTTAGATTTCGTCCCGTGGGGAGGGACAAGTGAATCATAACTTCAGATCCTATAAATTTATTAAGAAGTAAGTGCAGAGCTGATGACACACTGGTATGACATTGTGGGCACTGAACCCACAGCTTTGGCAGTGACCCTGTTAAAAAATGCATTTCATAAATAGACCAGATTATCGTAGTGGTGTAAATACGATGTGTCAGCGGTTAAATGATGGCTGAAAATGAAAGGCCTGAGATAACAGGCTCACATTACTGAATTAAATAAATACTAACAACTACGTGTCGAGGAGCTGGAAGTGGCAACATCTTACTTGGTCCAGTTCAAAATGACTCTGGGATTATGAATCTATTTTTATAAAAATGAATTAGCCACAGTTAAATCTTTACATACAACTGTATGTATGCTGATTACTTTTCTATGGTCCTGAGTGTGTGACATACTTTTGCATTCAGTGGTGTCACCCTCTGCTGGTCATTAGAGATAATACAGGTTTAAGGCACAGCATCTACGAGCATTTTTATTATTTTGGATAAGTCAAGTTCTTCTTACTTGAGACTGTGTATAGAGTGGATCTTCTTTAGTACTTGTGCCAGACATGCCCTGCTGTTTTCATCCAGGTGTACCGAGTCCAGACTTCAGTTAAACACAGACACAGAGGAAGTACTCTTTACAGAAAGTACTCTCAGAAGTATTTATACATGATCAGTATGTGTGTCTTACCAAAGAGTTTCCAGACAGACACAGTGTCCCAGTGCTTTGACGAGCTGCAGCCCTGCAGCCGCTGACCATGAACAATGAGACAAACTAGAGACAAGTCAAAGAGTGACGTTATCACTGTGTGAGATAATTGCTATTGTTCAGTTTATACAGAACAACACAGTGAGACGTTGATCACATGTGGACTGTGGCCTGAGCATTAACTAAAGATTCAAACAGTTTACTGTACTGATCTGGATTTTAATGCTTACTTGAGCGATCGTAAACGGGGGATTATTCTGGTCATCGTCTGAGCTGCTGAGTCACTAATCACATGACCTGATAGACTGAGAGAAACGGAGAGGGAGACAATGATCACGTGGCACAGGAAAGGATGCAGAAGAATATGGAACCGTTGAAGAGGTAAATAGTAAAGATATATATTCATAATAATGTGTTGGTGTGTGTGTGTTGCTCACTTGAGGCACTGAAAACTTGTAGCTTGCAGCAAAGCCTCTGAGAGCTTCTCAACCACAGTCTGACACGTTTCTTCGAAAACAACACTGTTAAAGATGAGAGCAGATGCTTCACACGTCCGCACTTTACAACAGAAATTTGTCACAAATAGTCACGACAGAAACCTCGAACCTGAGAGAGGTGAGTTTTGGCAGCGAGGGCAGAACAGAGCAGAGAGACTCCACTCCCTCTGCACCCAGGCGGTTGTGGGAAAAACTGAAAATAACAAGAATAATGACTCATTATTTTGGTTTCATTTAGTTTCTTGTATGAGTGCATCTCGCTTTCTGCCATGGGCATGATTCAAACATAAAAAACAGAGAACTAACTCCAGCTCTGTCAGTAAAGGACACATTTGGACGTCGCTCTTCAGAGGAGACAGCTGACGTCGCTCGACTTTACAGTCTGCAGGGCTGAGGGGGGGATGAGAGACAAACAGATCTCAAAACATGTACAACGAGAGCGACAACAAGATATGAGCTGTTCGTCTCGTTCCTGCTGTCTTCAGTTATCCAGAATAATATTCGTTTTTTATCGGACACAGTCTGTCGTATTACCCGACTGAAGCCGGTCCAGTGGATCTCATCAGAAACAGGTGCAGTGTGGTGTGTTGCATCCTGAAGAATTAATGAGTTGTTAATTAGAAACACACTGATTTGAATATTAGTCAAGAGTGTTTAGTCTTCGTGTCTCACCTGATTGTCTGAATGTTGTCTTTGAGCTCCAGACAGCGACAAACTAAACTCACAGCTTTTTCATCTCTGATCCAAGGCTCGTCAAAACTGCCCAGAAAAAAACAAAATGTGATATAGTTCAGTTTCAGTTTTTGAACAGGAACACAGAGGTATGTAAACATCTGAGACTAAATTTGTATAAGTCTTCACCTGTCACTTCTAAAACAGGAAAAAGTGCTTGAGTCTGATATTTGACAGTTTATGTTGTAGTCTACACAAGTAACCTGCAGCGCTGTGAGTATTTATACTTATGTTTAAAGATTACACTGTGTGTGTTAAACTTATTCAGTATATACAGTATATTTAAGTTATAATATTTAGTTGTGACTTCAAATGTTATAGTTCTGCCTCACCTGATGCTGCATCCTCTCTGCCCGATGCTCACCACTCTCACAAAGTCTTCAATCCACTCAGACTCCAATGAATTATTCTTGAACCTGCGGATCAGCCACAGAGACAGATCATTACTAACTGTCACATGACCATCTCTCTCAAGTTATCCTTCAACATCAATGTAACTAAACCTGAAGGGTTTCAAGATTGTGCCATTTGTAGTATAAAAAGCAAGAAAAGCAATTAAAACTTATGACGTATCTGTTTCTTCCTGAAAAGCTCTTGTAACAAATGAAATCTTTTTCTTCTACAGTAATAATCTGAACATGGGAATGTTACGTACTCCAGTTTGGTCAGATGAGGACAATCAGACACGATCTCTGCTAATCTGTTCAGATGCTTGCGTTCCAGGTCACCGTCCCTGACGCTGGTGGAGAAGCAGACAAGATGCAGAGAACAAAATTGAAATAAATTTTGACATAATATTTTCCACATTTTATATCTAGAATAGAAAATAATTTGAACTGTGAATTCTGGTTTTACCTCAGAGTTTTTTCACAACCTCCGTATTGTCTGAACCAGAGAAGACACCTCTCTTCTGCTCCCAGACTTCCAGTGGACATCAGAGGGTGGAGTTCACAGACACACAGGGACGAACATGAAATTTTTTTTTATAACTCTTTTCTTAACACATTCAATATTTAATTTATTCGTTTTTTGTTTGTTTATTTATTTCTGCACGGACTCACCTGACTTCTACAGCACTGACGTTATCACAGGTGCAAAGTGACCCGGCCACATCCAACAGTCCCTGCTGGGTCAGGCTGTTGTTGCTCAGACTGTGGATGAAGACGTGTTGAAGATCAGGAAACCAGTTACACTACTGCCAAACATGATCCAACACTAGAAACCAGATGCTGAAGCTTGCTGTTAATTCACATACTGATGTTCAAGAGTAAAGAATAAAGATCTGATGATATATTTTCTCACGTCATGGTATAAAACAACAGATGTAAATACTCTTTCTTTCATTTGAGTTTTGTTAAAAAGATGCCTGCTCCATTAAATAGTCTGTTATGTGGTACATAAAGTAAATTATTGGTAACAAGGGTTGTTTCAATTTCAAAACGTATTTATTTTTAACAAACCTTTCACTGAAACACTTCTTCTGACTGTTTCTTTACAGCAGCTACAAATAAATATGCAACTGAAAACGTTGAAAACTGAAAACATTTTTTTATCTTACTTGACGAGGCTGTTGATTTTAAGCATCGGAAGAGAATCAGTTAAACACTTCACTCCTTCATCCCTCAGTTGGTTGCTCGATAAACTGCAGTTAGAAGAAAAAGGTTGTTATTATTCAACAGCAGTGGAGTAAACGTTGGTTTAATGTATATAAGAGTGTGTGAGGTTCGTACTCCAGGTCACACAGCTGATGAACCTGCTGCAGGATCTTCATCAGCCGCTCCATGTTGTCACTGGACAGGTTAAAATGAGTTAACCTGTGGAAATGAGGGAATCAGACAAAAGACAATGACAAATCATAATCTGATAATCAATTACTGATAATTCTGTGTAGTAAAATCATTTTTCTTTGACTCTCAGTGGTTGACAGCTCTAAAATACAGCACATACTTTTCTAAATCAATACACGGGGGGAGAATGTGAGAAGATAAATCTGATGTACAATGGATTCTTAAATATGACAAACTGAGAGTTCTGAAAAACAAAAAGTATTTTTTAATGATCAGTGGACAAAACATTTTGGCGATCACAGACCTGCAGCTGACTTGTTCTGCCTTCACTCTGCCAAAATGGACGAAACCTTCACCCTGAGACCTGAGGAGGAGTCACAGCACCGTTTAACTTTTATCAAAATGTTCCAGGAAGCTAATTATAATAAATACTTCTTATGATTGTACCCACGACTGCAGAGAACTAACACTTTGATTGTGTTGTGTTATGTTCACATTAGTGTCACACCTGAGTGCTAAAGATGTGACGCATGGACTGTCCGTCAAACACCGGACCATGGTCAGTGCGCCGGTTGTTGAGGTGATGCTGTAGCTGACACTGGATGAAGAGAGGATGGGGTTGATAAAAATGAAAGTGATAACACATATTCTTTGCTTAATATCTGTTGTGGATATTAAGTTTATCATAAAAACAAAATAAACTCTCACACACGAAACCATCCACCCTATTTAAAGCGTATTCTATGTGTGTGTGTCTTACTTGAGTCTCTGCAGCGACGCCATCTTTGGTAAAACCTTGAGCAGGTTCTTGATCGCCTCGTCTTTCAGTGAACAGTGACACAAACTGACGAGACAGAGATATTAATGTGGACATGTAACCTTACGGCAATACAATTAAAACATGTGAATAAACAGTTATTACACTTACTCCAACTCCAAGGAGGAGCCACACTGGACCAGTCTCCTGCATAGTGCGGTGACATTAGAGGGCAGGAGGCTGCTGTTCTTTATCCTACACAATCAAATTTATTTTACAGATCAAGAAGTTCAACAAATCGTACATCTCGGAGCCTACACCGGCAAATCTTGTGGATATTTTTCTTAAAAATGACCAAATCCATTGATAATTAACACAATTTGATTTATGTTGATGGAAAAAAAAGAATGATCTTAGTTAAATCTGTGTTTTTTCACCAGGTCTTTATCAGCGGACTTTACCTGAACTTCTTGAGCTGCTGTGTCTCATCGCTGAAAAATAAGACAAGCACAGAATTCGACTATAAACAGACAAATACAACTGGATTCAGATTAGTGGTGGTTTTCATGATTAAAGCTTTTCTACCTTTGGTCAGAGCAGAACTTCAGGATCACCTGCTCCCTCCCCCCCTCACTGCAAAACAGAGGAACAGGAAAACATCACTAATCACAAATTTACACGCACATGTGTATTTATTATTTTCCATAAACAGACATACATGTTTAAATGGAGGGCTCGCTCAGTTGCTGCTCTAGTAGAAACATTAAATACATAAAGTGTAGAAGTACCTGATGTGGATCTCTGTTAAATTGTTCCTGGAGCACAAAGCACCAGCCAACATCACCACTCCCTCCATTCCGATGCCGTTGTTACTGGCACTGAAAACACACACAAACACCATGAGCCAGGTGGAAGGACAGGATTTATTTTTACATGAGCTATTTATACTAAATAAATGTAGCACACAGCAACAGCACATTTTCTTGGAATCTATCTGACGAGAAAAGAATCGTCCACCAGCATACGAAGATCAGATGAACTCATTCCCTTTTTTCAATAATTGCATTTTACCTGAAATCTTGTTATATATTTGTGTCGAGCCTTACTTGATTTCCTGGATTTTGCTAAAACGAGGCAGGACATCCAGCAGCTTCCTCAGACCTTGGTTTCCCAACTGGTTGCTGGACAAACTGAAAATAAAAAAGTGGGGAGACAGAAGAATGAGGGATAAGAATGAAATACACAGTAGAGCTGCCAAAACAAGGGAAACATGTACATAACCTGGTGATGCAGAAAATACAAAAGAAACTCTGTGATTAAAATTTACACTCATGTATAAACTGACCATCACATGATGACGGATAATTGACAGATAAAAAACAGGTGGTTGAGTGAAGTGTGTGTGAATGCAGGTTTGTCCAGAACAATCAGTCATACACATTGTGATGTATATTCAAATTCATGCAAGCCCTTATTAAACCTCAAGAACTGAGAAAACACAGATGTCTTCAGTTTTTGTTCTTATCATTTGTGTTTGACAAATACTAAGTCTACCACGTACATTCCACTGGTTCTGCTCCTTCCATGAGGCTTTACGACAGCGGTTGAGTTTATGTGTTGATGGAGGAATGTTTAATGTTGCCACAGAACATGAGACTTAAAATAAAAATCGTCGCGTGTCGGTGTGAGAACTTCTATGTCTTTATATGTGTCTTACTCCAGCACAGTGAGATCACAGGACGTCTCCAAACTCCTCCACACTCTGGTCAGATCAGTATGAAGCAGACCACAGCAGCTGAGACTGACAGAGGCAACAAAAAGACGGTAAATACTGTAATAATGTCTTTATTATTTCAGAAAATAAACCGATAACTTCATACACACCTGAGTGTTTTATTGTTTGCAGGCTCTTCGCTCCCTCCAGAGAAAAGTATAGACACCGGAGCAGGATCTGTATCAGACTGTAGTCTTGAATATGAAGAAACAACAGGTTGAATCACAGTGATGAACCCACATTTTAGAACTTCAGCAATTTAAATAGACAATGCACTGATTGCTTCTGCACAGGAGCCACGAGTGTTGCAACAGAATGACGTTCATGGAGTTGTTCTCTAGTGTGAACGCCGCAACCTTCTTGCCTTGAGGTGAGGGTGCTCACCTCTGTGTCACCGTACCGGCCACATTTGTCCCATTTAATGCACGTTTACAGGCGTGTTTGTACCTGATGTGAAGCTCCATCACAGTAGGGCAACGAGACAGCAGAGCAGTCAGAACCAACAGGTCTTTCACTGACGAGCAGCTGTCGTTGAGACTGAGAAACAACAAACCACCATCAACAAGCTGCTGAGCACTGTTTTTTTTATTTGTCTTTCCCAACCACAAAGAATGTAAGTGTATAAAAAGCATTTGGGATCATTTTGGATATTTATGTATACTCAAGTAAAGCTTAATGTTTTATTGCAATACAAACACCATAACAAACGCTGTACGCAGAATACATGTAGCTTAAGTATCAGTTTCATATCATGTGCTTTGTGATGCAGTCTTACATGATCTTGTCGGTGACATTTAACTTTGGCAAAAACTGAGTCAGTTTCTTTAGAGTTTCCAAATCCCACTTGCCTCCAGACAAACTAGAACACAAACACAGAATTTGAATGGCATTTGATTTAAATATGTAAAATACGTAAGAAACACACTGATCAAAAATAAAACTGTAAGTTACTAACTGGCTGCTTTTATTGTAGAGGTACAGGTACTTACTCCAGGACAGACAGAGAAGGACAACAAGCCAGTGAACTGGCAACTTTCTGCATCTCAGACTTGTTCCATTTCTGGTTCAACAAGCTGGAAAAACCAAAAGAAAATAATAGTAATGTCATCAACTATCTGCACAGAAACTAAACCATTTAATTTAAGTATTAATACAGCAGTAGTACTGAGATCACAGCTTTAAGCCAAGACAAATTGTTTCAAACTTGTACGTGCTCTTTGCCAACAAACATAATCAAAGTTCAAATACTGAGCAAAGTTCTCCAAGGAAACTGGATCCACACCAAAGCTTTGGAAAGAAATCAAAATGTGATATGAGATTTATTGAATCTTACCGGACTGTTGTTTCAGACTTTTCATGGCTGTAAATGAATAAAGGAAATGAGACAGAATTTCAGTGAGGTCAACATTTGTTTTATAGATTTATAAATTTTATGAGACCATAAAAACTCACCTCTCCATATCTGAGGTTTGGGAGAAAGTTACTGTCACTTCTTTCGACGCACTGCCCAAAAACAGTTGGTATAGGATGTAAGGTACAGCCTCTGTGATACATGATGCAAACTTATAAAGATACCTGTAGCTGTGTGTGTGTGTGTGTGTGTTGTGTAGTCATACTCTGCGTAAACATGCCGGATGTTCAAACACGAAGACATTTTTCCAACGAGATAGTCCACAGTTTTCAGGGAGCTGTTGTTACAACTCAGGCTGTAATTTGCACAAATGCACATATTAACCTCCACACAATACAGCTTCCTTGAAAGCCAACAATATTTGAAATAGCGCATTATAGCAGTTAGAAAAAGCTCATCAGAAGTATGGACTTACATGACAGACACCAGTTTTGGTAGTTTGGTAAAGATATCAGCCACGTGTTTGATCCCTTTGTCTTTCAGGCTGTTGCCACTGAAACTTTTAACAAAAAAAAAAAAGCATGGCGTCAGTGGTCTCTGTTTAAATTAATTATTTAGTGTAGTAGTGAAATTAATGTTTTAGATGTAAGATAGAAAATATACTTGAGCTCAGTGATGTGTGGACACTTCTCCAGAGCAGAAGCCAAACAAGCTGCTCCTCTGTCAGTCAGACTGGAACCACAAAACCTTGTCGAGATAAAAGCAATTACTCAGTCAAGTACTAATAATACAACTAATTTAAAAAAATAAGTATTTATCCAGAACTTATTACTAAAAAGTAACAAACTGCTTCACATGGTTGAACCAGAATAAAATAATTCAGGAGAGCCATTAACTTGGAAGGTAACATGTAAAAAAAGTAATTAAAGTAATACAACATGCTGGGAATAAAACAGTGTGGTAAGTGGGGCTGCCTTCACTTTATTCATCGGAGTATCTCAAAGGAAATTACACTGATTGGTTGTAATCCCCCCACTATGTATTTTCAATGGGACATGAGCAATTAATAATAATTGTCCACTTCCACTTGAACATTTCCAGATAAAACAATTTACCGTGAATTTGTCACAATGAAACAATTTCAGAGAGGCTGAAACGACAGACTGTAAATGTTGAAAAGAATCTAAATCCTAAGAAAAATCAGAGAATACTATAGATATTAAGAAGTGAAATATCAGTTACAGTTGAGCTGAGGGTGCGACAAAAGAGGAAGCATCTTACTCAAGTTTTCTCAGGGTTGTGAATTCAGGCAAAATGGAGGACAACTTCTCTGCAAACCTGTCGCCATATCTGCGGCTGCGAAAACTGAAGACACACAAGAAGTCAAAAATAGCATGCACGGCTAAAAGAAACAAGTCTACATATGGGATGGGAAGCTGAGATGCCATCAACAGATGTTGATGTTAGATTTGTAAGAAACACAAATTGAAATGTCACTCTCTGTTGAAGATCACCTTCAAAATAGCTCATAGGATAATTGATGCTGTTGTGTTTATATCACCAGTTACATTTATTGTGTAGTAGTTGGTTGAGAGGGGGCCCTGCACAGAACTATTGCCAGTTGGACAGTAATGTCTCCCCCCTGCTTCACGTGACACCGACACTGAGACCAATTGCACAAAGACCCTGGAAGCTGCAGACAGGACGAGCTGTTGGCAGCAGCTGATTTATTAGTATTATTTTCTCCGATCGCCTTCCTGTGGAGAGATTCCTATGTACAGCACATAGCTTTGCATGTTGCCGTTTAATGTTTTAAACAAAGCTTTCACCGCCATCTGGTGTATTTTATTTTGGCCTCCTGCATTTATTGTTTTAGGTGTTGATTCTTTTTTCAGCTGGTCTGATAAAACGTAACTTGAAGGAGCCAGCTGCTGTCCTTCTGATCTTGCTGTAGGTCTATTTTTCAAGCAGAGACTCGGCCGACCTCAGGGCCACAGCAGGGAACATGGAGCACCAGAGAGTTTGACAGTTTGCAGGACAGGTGGCTGTGGAATGTCAAAGGCGAAGAAGCAGATCTTTCCGGAGCCTCTGTGCAAGTGTTCTCTAACCAAAGTCTAAACGCAGGTTTTCACATTCTTGACAGCTTAACGCCATCCACTGCGACTGCTTCTTTAATTGCACTAAACCTGTGGTCATAAAAATAGAATAGTTCTCCTCCCTCACATCCACTGTGTGTTTGGACTGTACACTCATCTGTGTATTTTGCCCTTGCACTTCAAATGACAAACTGATTTACGCACGTATCTGCACAAAAGATGAGTAAGTCCTCAAGTTAATTTCAAATAACAGATACAGTCATTTTTGTAAAGAAAAGCTGTTTGATTCTAATTCTGAATGTGTGCAGTTCTACTTGTCATTTTCCTTGTGTGTGTTTGTGCCCGCCTACCTGAGGTGGGGAATGAACCTTGGCAGGACATCTAAACACTCTGGCTCCATTGAGCATGCTCCAAAGTCCAAACCAATGCTTATATCACCTACTGAGTTAACTAGAAATGCCAGAGCATCAATATCTTTAGGTAACAGGTGGATGTTGCGCAGCTCCAGAGTGGATCTTGTACCCACAACCTCTTTGGCAAGTTTGTGTTCCTGGCTCTCCTGGATGCAGTGGCATAGCTCCAGTATCTGTGAATATGTAAAACGAAATGATCGCTATCAAAATAGGTAGAAAGAGAAAAGGGTAGCTTGAAATTGCCAGAACAATCATATGAGGATTCTACCTTGGGTCCAGTCAGGTTCTGGCTGTGGCACAGGTTGCTGAGCAGTTTCAGAACAAGGGCTTGTCGTTTTTGGACCCAACTCAGTTCACCTGTTTGACCAGAAGCTCTGGCTAATCGAACTAAGGCTGGAGTGCAGTGCTGGGAAGCCAGACCACACACATATAGGTGCAGAGAGTCAGTGAACACTGTCCTCTGGTCTGACCTGGTCGTCCAACGGGTTTTCAGACTGAATCTGAGAGAGCAATGAGGCATGAAGTCAACGTTTTCATTAGTGTGATGTGTTGATGAGTTTGGTCTAAAGATTCAAACCAGTGACATTCTAAACCCGAAACTTGTGGGGTTTTGTTGTTTGTTGGATACTGTAAATGAGTCTCTGTTGGTTTAAACTGAGGGAATTTTGTGTTTAGCGTTTCAGCGTCAAATTTCAGCAACAACCTAAGATCTTTAATTGATTTAATTCAACATGTGTCTTTGGAAGGCTTCTAGCAGCCTTTGGAACACACAACACCCTCGAAAGTCTTTCTTGAGTGTCAACAGAGCCCCACAGTATTTTAAGCAATATTAGACAGAGGGAAGAAGGGGGACTGGTATTTATACTGGAGGCAGACAGGACGGTGACACTGGATACCTTGTTCTGCGTCACATTCACATCTCACTTTTACTATAACCTCCAATGCCCCACAACCCCCCCCCCCCCTACCGGAAGTAGCTGAGCTCCTTTTGGGGAGAAGGGTCATTCACGTCTGAGGGGAATCTTATTACACAGCTCATATTGCTTCCATGTGAAAGGTATTCCTGGTATACAGTGTGACTTTATATGGTCAAAATCTATTACACCCCTCTGCTTGTGTTAATACCCCAATGGTCCAAAAATGTCTCAGCGCACACACAGATTAAGTTGCCAATTTTTTAAATTTGGTTCAGACACTCTTAAAATGGTTTTGTGATATTTGTAAATGATTTTTTTTTTACTATACACTTAGGGTCATATTCCAAGTTTAAGCTACGAGGGGCTTTTCATTGGCAGAGAAAAAGCTCATGCAAGCAGCGCAGCGACAGGGTGTTAATAACCTGACCTTATTTGAAATCCCTGTCCATATTCATTGTGGTGACAAGCAAAGATCGGACAACACAGGTGCAAACAAATCTCTGTCAAGTGAGGGAAAGAAAATTGTGCATTTGGAAAATTTAGTCATACATGTAATTAAAAATAAGGTCTGTTTGAATGGAAATGGACAGAAATAATATAATTATGTTTTACTGACTTTATAAATAAACATGTATACATGACAGACACCAGTTTACCTAATTGCCAAGGAGTGTTAATTGTGCTTTGTTTGTTTATCTGTTTTCCAGAGGAATAACTAAAGGAATACATTCTGGAACTGAATAAATGCGTGAATCCTGGAATCTTTTCCCCCTTTCGTTAACATGGTGAGAGGCGGAGTTGTAATTGTAAGTGACTGAACACACATCAGGCACAGTGCACTGGCCACTCAAACAGAGCCCACACATTGGAGGAAAGAGCACATGGTCTTAATGTTAATTTCTTCATTTGTCTTCCCTGAAATTCATTTCCTCACCTTTTCTTGAGCTGCGTGTCAGTGACATCTTTACTAGTCATGATCCTGAGTGCAGCCAAAAATTCCTGTATTGTTAGATGAATGAAAGAGTAGGCAGGCGTCCCGTTCTCAAGTCTGAGCTCCACCTTCCAGGAAGACATGGACCAACGAGTTATCTATTGTGACATGAGCTCTGTGACAATGTACTTGAAGATATGTCTAAGTTAAGATCTAATCTTTGTTTTTATTGTTTATTAGTCATGTTAAAGTAAATGGAGAACCAGCCACAGTCTGAAAGTAAAGGTTATAATACAGATCTATTGAGTATTTAAGTGTTGAGATAAGATGTGTCCACAGGCTTTGATTATAGGTGTTCATGCCAGAGCATCATGCAGATATTCCACATTCCATCATTAACTCTTCAATGCTAAACAAACAAAACAAAGTGTTTTACATTCCTTGTTTTCACACTTGGCAGACCAGGTCATAAAACAAAGACGGTACACTACTAACCAAACGCACTTCAGTACGTCCTTTTACAAGAACTATCAGCCTCTAGTTTCGCAGGAAACTCTGCAGCACAAGCACAGAATGAAGGAACATTATGAGTCTGACCTGTGAGAGGAGGCCTGTCCTGATGGAAAAATCCAAAACATTTTGAGGAACATCATCTTTCAAGAAGAGGATCTTGCTCTCCTCTAAACCTGTCCAGGCCAGTCGACTTAGCTCACATAGCTCAGATCCATTCTGACTCAGAGCGGTGAATCTGAAAAATGAATATAAGCACAACTGAACCAATTTTTGCATTGATAAATCGTTTAATTATATGGAA